ATCAGTATCAACATCTTTTTTCTTGTAAAAAAAATCAAATTTGCAAGTTCAATTAGATCTAACGTGGCAAAAATTGAACCTAACGCTAACGGATATCTAGAACTAACATGGACTCAAACTAGAACTAAAATGGACTGTGATAAAACCTAGCATTGTTTAAGATGAACTCAAATTAGGGAAAATTAGGCTGAGTCCCCAAATACTAGATAACATAGCACTTACTTTTTTGGGGGGAGGGTTCGTTGGTACGACCAGCCCTTGCCGTTCTTCTTTTCCGGTCTTACCATTCTACTGCCTGCCTTTGTATTTCCATAAGGGTTTGAGTGGCTTCCTCTGCGCTGCCAACCCCAGATAAACCGTCTTTGTCATTCAGCATGCGGCGATAAACGACTTCGTAGTCGTTAACGGATTTTGCTTCCCTGAACGATATTTTTCTGGCGAAAACCCTAGCACTGTTAAAATGCGACGAGAAATTTGAAAGTTCGAGAGTTTCAGTGGCTCCTCAGTGGTGGAAGAGAGGGGGAAGATGAAGATGGTACTTGGGGTAGGGAGGGAGCGTAGTAACCTAGTTTAGTCCCATCAAAGGGGCAAGTTCGTAACTTCCATTACTTTTTTTAAAACCAATACTTTGGGCATCGTCACAAATACTGTGTGTGTTTGGGGCTTATCCATATGGGGCATAATATAAGGGGCCTCGTCACATGAAGTTTTCGCTTTTGGGGTCTGGACATATTTTTCCCTTAAAGATTTTACCTTTTTTAAAAAATAGAAATTTTTTTGAGAAAAATAACACCATTAAAAAAGTAAATATTTTTTTTGGAAATTTTATATTTTTGAACAATAATACTATTTATAAAAAATGATTTTTTTAAAAGTAACAATTTCTAAAATAATGAATTTTCCAAAAAAAATTATTTTTGGAAAAAATTATCTTTATTTTCCATAAAAGATTATTTTAAAGGTAAAATATTTGATGGGAAAATGTATATTTTATGGAAAACATATATTTTATGGAAAATATATATTTAAAAAATAATATTTTCCAAAAAAATAAGGGAAAAATGTTTCTGGACCCCCCCCCCAAAAAAAAGAGGATGTGACCTAGCCCCTCTATGTTTTTCTCTTTCTCTTTAACCCCAAAGACACTCCAAAAATGTGTCCAGCTCCTTTTTCACGCTTTCTCATAAATTAATCTCACTCTCTCCCGAAATTGCCCCTTCTTCTTCTCCTCATCCTCCTCCTCCTCCTCTGTGGGTTTCTCCTCCTCCTCCTCTCAATCTCCTCCCCCTCCCCCTCCCCCTCCCTATTTCTCTCGCCTCTCTTCTCACGCTCAAAGTCCTCTCAATCTCCTCCCCCTCCCCCTCCCCCTCCCTATTTCTCTCGCCTCTCTTCTCACGCTCAAAGCCCAAGCCCCAGGATCCCTAGCTCCAAAACCCTAACCCCAGCCCCAACCCCAAATCCCCATCATCAAACTCCTTCTCCCTCTCCCTCAACATCTAGCCTCCCACCCAGCGCAATTGCGACGTCGTCACCGTTCGCTTCTTCGAAACCCTAACCTGCCCCACCTCCGTCCTCGCCAAGCGCTACGGCGTCCTCCCCGAGGCGGAAGCTGACTCAACTTCTACGGCGTACAATTGATCTTTTATCTCAGGTATGCATAAGTTCATATGTCTTGTTTTTCTATGTCATTCATTTACACATGTCCACACCATTTTATAAGTTCGGTTGGAACCTTAATTGGTGTGAATTTCAGAAATGAACTGGTTTAACTAGAAGGCACATGATGACCAAACGAATACCGTGTTCATTTTGTCATCACATAAATGATCATATCTCCTCTAACAAAGACAAATTTTATTTCTCACATCAATTCAGAGAGAAGTCAATTATGTAGACACAGTAGCATCATCTAGGTATATGTTTCACTAGTTATTATACAGAGAGAAGTCAATTATGTAGACACAGTAGCATCATCTAGGTATATGTTTCACTAGTTATTATATAGGCCAATGCCTTTGGGAGCTGAATCTCATTAACTACAAACTGCTTTTATTTTAGGTCACTAATAGACAAAGAAACTAAACCAAAGATGTGTTTTACTTGTTTCCAACGATTAAAGCATGGTTCTCTTTGATAAGGACACAAGTTAACGATAATTTTTTGAAATTCAGTCATGATGACACTGACTCTATACCGCATCTGAAAGTAGGTAAATTAGATGTCTATTTGTTGCTATTCATGTATGAAGAATGTGATTTTAGTAAAATGGTCTATAAGAAAGCAGAGCATAATATAGTCTTTATATATACTTTTTTTTTTGGAGTTTACAAGTTGGTTTGGGACATATATTGGCATATGATGTGTGTTGGAGCCTCTAATTTTTCATTGGGGAAAGTGGCCTACATATGATATGTTTTTTCTAGTTTTTATCGTCGTATACCATTACATGATTTATTCAGCATTTTACACTAGAATTATAAAGCTCTATATGTGGATATGATTTTGTGTATAGATTCCAAAATTGCCTGATATTGACCCAATAGTCCAGAGTCGGGCATCCCACTCCGACGAGGCCAAGGTAGCGTCAGTCGAGGGAGGGATCGAGATCTTGGAGATCTACTCCTAGGCGATCAGTAGGAAGATGCTGGAGTCTGTGAAGAGGGGTGGGGTTCAGAACATGAGTCTGCCAGCGATTGAGAATCTGTCGGGGGAGGATCGAAGAAGGAGTCTCGTGGCGGGGAGAGCGCGGAGGCAGAGGCGGAGCAACGATATTTATAATTTTACAGATGATCGTTGTTGCTGCTTATTGAAAAGAGATTAGTTGTTCCTTTTGTATGTTAATTTTCTAAATGTTTCCTTGCAAACAAAGTGTTTTTTATCTTGTCTACGCGCTTCAAGATTGATTATGTGCTTATATGAAAAGTTTTATTCGATTCCAATTAGATGGATATATCGCAGTAGGAAAGTTCAAACGAAGTGGACGTACACTTTGTATTATGTCTGAGTGCTCGAGTGGAATGTAAAAATTTCATGTTATTTTAATTTTGGATTAAATTTTAATTTTAATGTAGGCCAAGAGATGAGCTAAGAAATTCCTTTATTGTGATATATACTACATAATAATATTTTTACAATTATACATGTTAACTTGCATAATAATATGTTAATTTTCTTCATAACATGTTAACTTTTAGCTGAACATGTTAACTTTTATCATAATATATATGTTAACTTTCTTCGTAACATGTTAATTTTCATAATAATATGTTAACTTTCTTCGTAACATGTTAATTTTCATAATAATATGTTAACTTTCTTCGTAACATGTTAACTTTTATAATAATAGAACTCTATATATTAACAACATAATAATATGTTAACTTTCTTCGTAACATGTTAACTTTTATAATAATAGAACTCTATATATTAACAACAACTTGCATATGAATCTCCATACAACCACTATTTTGGGTGCCTCTCAAATTTATATATCAATGATAAATCAAAGTTATCCAGCTGAAAGTTTTAGAGTAGCAGGATATTTAATAGGATTTGTAAGAATCTACTCAAGCAATATCCTGTTAACTAAAGAATCTAAATGTTAACATGAACAAGTTGTAATATGTGAATTTATAAGAATAATTAAATTGTGTACTCAAGCAATATCACCTGTAAGAATGAAAGAAGTTTTATAATTCCTTTTAGCTGTATAATTTTCTGCTAAACATGTTACTTATCATTTGGCTATGTTATCTTTTATTTGAATAAGTTATCTTTTACGTGAACATGTCAACTTTCTTCATAACATGTTAACTTTAATCTGAAGATGTTAACTTTTATCCGGCTATATTAACTTTAATTGTTACATGTTAACTTTCACCATTATATGTTAACTTTCACTGTTACATGTTAACTTTCAGCTGAACATGTTAACTTTCATCATAATATGTTAACATTCACTATTACATGTTAACTTTCGTCATAATATGTTAACTTTCTTCGTAACATGTTAATTTTCATAATAATATGCTAACTTTCTTCGTAACATGTTAACTTTCATAATAATAGAACTCTATATATTAACAACAGCGTGCGTATGAATCTCCATACAATCACTATTTCGGGTGACTTTCAGATTTATATATCAATGATAAATCAAAGTTATCCAGCTGAAAGTTTTTAGAGTACCAGGATATTTAATAGGATTTGTAAAAATCTACTCAAGCAGTATCCTATTAACTAAAGAATCTAAATGTTAACTAAAGAATCTGCTCAATGATTAAAATTTTCTACCCTACAATAATCAGTTCCTCATCCAAATTAAGAAGATAAAAAATGAAGCAAGCAGAGATTCTACTACCTACAATATCAAAAAACTTCTCTATTACACCTCAAAGAACAAGATGCATTTCTTGCAACCACAGCAAACTCTATTACACCTCAAAGAACTAGTCGCGGTCCAACAGTGTATCTCAAATCTCTCGCTCTGTGCATATACACACAATTACAGCATTTGAGTTAATTGCATATTAGGCCCCCTCTCAAATCTCTCGCTCTGTGCATATACACACAATTACAGCATTTGAGTTAATTGCATATTAGGCCCCCAGCTTGTAATAACAGAATATCTCCCACCTACGACTGAAAGGCAATCAACGCCTCTCTCTCAGGAATGCATCATCATCATCATCATCCATAATCATCAACTTCAATATCCTGATGGGGATTAATTTCCTGCTTGCCCTCAATTCCCAGTTCCAGCTAGAGAATTTAAACATAAAAAATCTCGCCTTCCATAACATGCAGTATAAAGGCCAACATTGATTGGCACATGTCAGTAATGAACATATATCATTATATAATAAGATGTAATATACATGTAAATAATAACACGGCATACAAATGTTATAAATGGATGTACCATATAAATAGTTACAGTCTTCACAATGTTTACATAAGGCTTGCGTTGAAGTACGAGTACATGAGTTCATCCAGCAAGCTCACTTAAGGGCGTACGCCTCCTTCTCGATCTCGTCGATGGCAGAGGCAGCTTCCGCATCGAGGAGGACGCCGTAGCGCTTGGCGAGGACGGAGGAGGGGCAGGTTAGGGTTCTGAAGAGGCGAGCAGTGACGACGTCGCAAGTGCGCTGGATGGGAGGCCAGATGTTGAGGGAGAGGGAGAAGGAGGTTGATGATGGGGATTTGGGGTTGGGGCTGGGGTTAGGGTTTTGAAGCGGAGGATCCTGGGGCTTGGGCTTTGAGCGTGAGAAGAGAGGCGAGAGGGAGGGGGAGGGGGAGGAGATTGAGAGGAGGAGGAGGGGAAACCCACAGAGGAAGAGGAGGAGGAGGAGAAGAAGAAGAAGGGGCATTTTTGGGAGAGAGTGGGATTAATTTATGGGAGAGCATGAAAAAGGAGCTGGACACAGTTTTGGCGTGTCTGTGGGGTTAAAGAGAAAGGGAAAAACATAAAGGGGCTGGGTCACATCCTCTTTTTTTTGGGAGTCCAGAAACATTTTTTCCAAAAAATAAAGTTTTTTAAAAGTAATATTTATTGGGAAATTTTAATTTTTCATAACAAATAAAGATTTTTAAAATAATAAAAAAATTAAATATTTATGTTGAAGTTCTTAGAATTCCTGAAAAATTAAATAAAAATTATGAGATTTTAATTTTCTTTATTTGGAATGGTTTGCAACCAGACGGGCGAGAGCTACTGACGCTCAAGAGCGAGGGTAAGGGGCTGTTTGGTTGTTGTTGGTAAAGTTGTGTATTTATGACACAACTTGGAAAGTTGTTGTCAATCTCATCAATTTCACTTTTATACTTTTCTTTGTTTGTTTTTGATTCCATTGGAATCATAAAACACTTGTTTGGTTTGTAAAATAAAACTTTAATTGTTTGTTTGGAAAGTGTAAAAAGTGGTCCCTACTCAAATGATCATATTGGTTGGAATTATTTTTTATTATTTTTTCCTAACTTCAATGTTAGCTTTCTCCAAAAATCATGTTTTTTTTTCATAAAATCACTTTAAAAGCCACATCAGCATATGAAATCACCTTACACTATTTTCACAACTACAAACAAACAATTGAAAGTGATGAAAGCTGACATTGGGACCCACTTTTTTTACACTTTACATCCTTTTACATGGTAAAAACATACAACCAAACAGCCCCTAAAGCGTGAACAAGAGGAAACTATAAGGTACGTAAGTGCCTTTTTACCCAAAAAAGGAAAGGAAAAAAGCTGAAGATTTTCATATAAAATATCCTTTCTTTTTTGTTAATTAGGGGCTGTTTGGTTGGTTTCCTAAAAACCAAGAAAAGGAAATCGGTACAAGGAAATCAATAAAATAATATTTTTATCCATTTCCATCCCTAAAACTCACCCACAACATCCAATAAAATATTATTTTTATCCTCCAACTCATCTCATTTCATCTCCTTTCTTACCTTAAAAAATAAACCAAACACAAGAAATGTGTCACATCATCCAACTCATCACATCTCATTTTATCTCATTTTTAAAAATCACACACATCATCCAATAATATTCATCTCATCTCATTAAACCTTCATTTCCATCCATTTCCTAAAAAAAAACAAGAAATTAATTTCCTTAAGTACATGTCACATCATCCAATAATATACCTCCAACTCATCTCATCTCATCTATTTTCTTATTTTTAAAAACGAACCAAACACAAACAATCTCAAAACATCATCCAATAATATACCTCCAATTCATTTCCTTATTTTTTTAACCAACCAAACAACCTCAAAACAAGTTTTTAAAAAAATCACTCACATCATCCAATAATAAGGTGACAACTCATCTCATCTCATCTCCTATTCTATAATTTCTTTTTTTTTTAACCAACCAAACAACTTCAAAGTAATTATAATAGGAAATAGGTTTCCTAAAGTTTGATTTCCCAGTTTTTTTGGCCAAACAAACAGGCCCTTATATAACTCCCAAACAACCTTTCCTCCTATTTAATTCCCCTGACCTGTCTCCTCTCTCTTTCTCTGTCTCCTCCCACTCCCTCACTCTCTCTCTCCCGAGAAACGAAAGCTGAGGAGAGAGAAAGAGG